AGGAGAGGGGCAAGAAGATGGACGGCGGCACCTAGGGCGAGATTGTGATGACCTAGATGAGGAGGAGAGGCAAGGTCGCCGACACCTGGGGTGTCGGTTCATCATGGGAGGAAACACTGGAGGAGATTCGGTATCCTCCCGAAAGAAGTGGAAGAACATGGTGTACCTGGCCGAGGTACAAAGGCCACCGCTGCCTAAGAGAAAGAAGAAGGAACCTCTGATCTTTACAGACGAGGATTATCCCCCAGTCCTCAGTCCTCACAGGGACGCTCTGGTGATAAGAGTGGAAATCAATAATGTGGTTGTTCACCGAACCTTGGTCGATACGGGCAGCTCGGTCAACGTAATGTACAGCAACACCTTTAAGGAGTTGGGATTGTCCCGAAGCGATCTGAAGCCAATCCATACGCCGCTGTCAGGATTTACAGGGGATACTATCGAAGCAGAAGGAACTATCACGGTAAAGGCCGGGGTAGGAGATGGCACCCACCGACTCTGGGTCGACATGGAATTTATGGTAGTACAGCTCGACTGTGCACACCATCTGATTCTGGGACGACCAGGGTAGGAGGACCTGGAGTGCATAATCTCCCCCGTCCACTTATGCCTAAAGTTCAACACTCCCACAGGGGTGGGAGTAGCAAAGGGGAACCAGAGCCTGTCACGGTCGTGCTATGTCAGGGCGACCAAAAGCCAAGCCCGAGTCGACGAGAATGTGAGCACGATCTGTGCGGCGATCCAGAAGGAGGAGGGGCGACCACGAGCTGAGCCGGCGGAAGAGGTCGAGGAAGTTTCTTTGGACCCGGCTGAGCCCGAGCGGAAGGTGAAGGTAGGCAAAACCTTACCGCTTGAATTAAAGGAGCAGTTATTGGAGGTCCTCCGAGCATTCAAGGTGCTATTCGCTTGGGGACCAGAGGATATGCCAGGGGTCGACCCAAAAATCATCTGCCATAGATTGGCAGTGGATCCGACCCACAAGCCGGTCAAACAGAAGAAGCGTTTCCTT